TTTTTTTTGATGTTTTGACTTTCTTAGATGTAAAGCGAAGATCAGAAACATATTTGAAGAAATGCAGAGTGAATTGGTGCCAATCAGCATGTCAGAGACAGAATACATAGCCTCAGTTTCCTCCGATAAAAATGTTGGGAAAACATCTGAATTAAAGGAAGACTTAAGCAACTCATTTTCTGGTGATGAAAGTAGCAGCTTAGAAAGAGAGTCCAAACTGTTGTCATTAAACTTTGATAAAACTTTATGTCAGCCTAATGAATACACTAATCAAACTGAAGCACAGGAAAATTATATTCCAGATGATGGTGGAGGTGAGGATGCTTGTGTTAAAACAAACATATGCCCAGAAAATTCTGAACAAATAGCTAATTATTCTGGTGGAGATTTTACAAAGCAAGTTTCAAAAACAAATGAAACAGAACAGACAGTAACACAGATATTGGTGGAATTAAGATCATCTGCATTTACAGAACCAACTAATCAAAAGACTTACTCAGAAAGTCCCTATGATACAGACTGCACCAAGAAACTTACTTCAAAAATAAAGAATGTTTCAGCATCAGAGGATTTGTTGGAAGAAATAGAATCTGAGCTTTTATCTACGGACTTTGTGGAAGAACAACAAGTACCAAATGGAATAAATAAGGGAGAACATGCATTAGTTATGTTTGAAAAGTGTGTGCAAGATAAGTATTTACAGCAGGAGCACACCATAAAGAAGTAAGTTTTTTATTCTTTCAGGTTTCTTCCCTCCCCACAGGGATTTAAGATTTAATTCTTTAAAGAAAGGTATCTTGTCCTCTTTTAATTCCACAAGAGCCATGCACTTAATCAAAAAACTGAATAACTGAGCAAATGTCAACTTGTCTGGTTATTTAATATGTAAGTCTAAAGGTATAAATATTTTATTGTAAGTTCATTCAAGACCTAGAAATAATTATAAAGACAACTCAAAATTTTCAGTTTTGAAAGAATGTAGAACATAATATTGTCAACATTAAAAGAAATTCAAAAGGAAATGAGAAGTAATGTTTTAAAATTTTTTCTTAAAATACCTATTATAAATTCATTGGTTTATAAAACAAATTTGGAGAAGAATTGGCTAATTATCACATTCCATCAGCATAGTAAGATGTTATTCAATAAATAACATAGTTAATTTTAGACTTGTCTTAGATTTGTGGAGTTAATTTCTATTTTAACAGTAGTTTCATTTCTCTTCCCCTAATTATATCATCCTGTATTTTTATTCTAGATTTATGTATTTAAGTAATGTAAATGTTTAGGTATTTATAAACCTTAAAGGAAAATAAAACATGCTAAACTTCACCAAAATACAGGCTGATTCTCTCCTTTAAAAATACTTAAAAAATTTTTTTTGAATGGGAAGTGTGTGTATAGAGAAAGGAGAAGATATCAACATACCAGAGGAGAGTAAGAGAAGAAAATACAGCAAAATCCAAATATTGCTGGATATTTAACTGGCTTTTAATGATCTCCTTGCTTCTAGGCGTTATACTTCAGATTATCTTCCTTAATGGATTACTCTTCCCCAGAGACCAGCTCACCCTTCACTGTTTTACCCAATGAACTTTCTCTTAAGCACCCAGAACCTTTCTTCTTTTCTATTTTTTATTTTTATTTTAAATTTTGATAAAATACACATAACAAATTTTACTGTCAAAACTATTTTTCAGTGTATAGTTCAGTAGTGTTACGTATATTCACGTTATTATACAATCTCCTTAGCTGAATTTTGCAAATCTGAAACCCTATACCCATTAAACTACAACTCCTTATTACTCCCTACCCCTGACAAATCCATATTCTACTTTCCATTTCTAAGAGTTTGAGTACTCTTGATACCTCATATAAATGAAATCATACAGTATTTATCTTTTCGTGACTGGCTTATTTCACTTAGCTGTGTCCTCAGGTTTCACCCACATGGTATCATCTGTTAGAATTGCCCTTGTTTTTAAGGCTGAATAATAATATTCCATTGGAATATGTTTTGTTCATTCATCTGTCAATGGACATTTGGGTTGCTTTCAACTTTTGGCAGTTGTAAATAATTTTGCTATGAACGTGATGTACAAACTTCTCTTGATACTCCAAGGACCTTCTTAATACTGCTCAAGACTGATGGCTGCTGCTCCTACTCATGTGCTTACTGGAATGTTACTAGCATGGATAAACTACATGATTTTTTACTGAACCATCAGTGCTTCTGCCATTCTTGATTTTAGGGTAACTTCATCATTTTCCTGCTAACCGTACCTATTCTTCTCGAACTTCCCTTTGAGTTCATCCCTTGATGCTTCTTCTCACTTTGCTTAGACTTGACTTTTACTGCTTTCATGCCTCTCTTGTAAATTATAAATGTGCATCAAATAATAACAGCAGCAAACACATGCTGTTGATTATTTGTCTGGCATTTTATTAACTTATGGAATCCTCACAACAACCCTATGTGACATAAACTTTTTTATTTTGATATCGTTAATGTACAATTACTTGAACCACATTATGATTACTAGACTCCCCCTATTTTCAAGTCCCCTCCACATACCCCATTACAGTCACATTCCATCAGCATAGTAAGATCTATAAAATCATTACTTGTCTTCTCTGTATATACTGCCTTCCCCAGTGACATAAAGTATTATTATCTCCATTTTACAGATGAGGTAACTGAAGCACAAAGAGATTAAGTAACTTGCTCAAGGTCACATGCTAGTAAATGGCAGTTAAAATCTGAACCTGGTTAGTCCAAAGGATTTTTTGATGTGGTTATCTGAAATGAACTAGTTACAATTCATCTAAAAATATTAGGAGTAAAGCAGAAAACTTAATTCTTTTTTGTTCCATCTGTAAGAAGAGTGGCAACATGGTAAACTGGGGTAAGTACAGTTGTCATCAGAAACCCAGAGTTATATAATTCCCACTGCCATTTGCAAGCGGTTTTACAACCTCTCTGAATCAAGAATTTTTCTTCTGTATGAGGGGAGAATATTTGCGGGATGGGATTATTTTGTGAGCATTAAAACATTATAAAAATGTTGGATATTATTTCAATCTAAGTTAATCTTGTCATATACATAATAATCTTAATTTCATATAAAATGCTTTGTGACTCAGGTTAGCTTTACAACTAATTTTGTTTTTCTCTTGCCTTCATTTAATTTTATACGAAGAAAACTACCTTTCAGTTCCTTTGGCTTAAATTTTCATGAATGCATATATTTCCATATGTATTTGTTTATACATACAGTCCTCTATTTTCTAACATCAGTATCATTGTCCAAGGTCCCAACCAGAATTCTAAATTAAAAACAGTTATTTGTGTATAGGATGTGAATTTGGGATTTAAGAGTAACAGTTTGAGAGCTTGCTGCTCTTCACTGCTGCCTCCCTAAATTATTTACTCATGGACTATAGCCAGGATTCTTGTGTTTCAAGTAGCTTTCTGCAACAAACTGAGCATACGTTTTAATCATGTAAATAATCCAAGTTAAGCTACTGTGCCAAAAAAGGCTTGAATGAACTTGCATGCTACATTTTTCTCCTCCCCAGATATTTGCGTGACTTCCTTACTTACTGCATTCTTGGGCTCCTCAAAGAGGCCCACCCTGACTACCTTATCTAAAATCACAGCTTGTCACTCACTTTCCTCTTGCCTCCTTTAGTTTTCTTAATAGGATTTAGTCACTACGTGACATTATATATCTGTTTGTTGTTTATTTTCATTTCCTCCCTTAGAATAAAAGTTCCATGAGGTCAGGGACAGTTTGCTGACGTGCTCCCAACATACAGAATAGTATAGGAACATAGTAGATACCCCATAATCATTTGTTGAGTGAATGAGGGATCTTCAAAGTAGAAGATGGAAAGGCCTAGGCTACAGAATTAGACCAGGCTCCAAACCTCAGTTTAACCACTTATTAGCTGTAAGACCTGGAACAAGTTTTAGACCTCAGTTTTATGTTTTTTGTTTTAATTAATAAAATAGATCATGATAATTTCATAAATTTACTTTCATAGACTTGACTATTAAATGAAATAATACATTTAAAGATGAACTTAGTAAATAGTAATTGTCCAATAAATACTAAATAATAGCTGTTGCTGTTAATAATCCTAAAATATTAGCTGTAAATATCCTTATTTATATTTCTGAGTATTTTGCAGGTAATTCTTAAGTTTTTATGTTTCTGTAGGTGCCTTAAAGTGAAATTTCTGCTTAAACTTCTATTATTTTACATTGACTATTCTTATAACTATTAGAATTCCATTAAAATATTTTTTGAAATCTGAAGCAAGATTTTTCATCAGCAGCAGTATTGATGTTGTAGGGCAGATAATTCTTTGTTGGTGATGGGATGGTCCTGGTCAGAGTGGGATGTTTAGTAGTATCATTAGCCTCCACCAAGAAGAAGCTATTTACAACCTCCACCCCAGTTGTGGCAGCAAAAAATGTCTCTACAGACAAATGTCTGGAGGGGCAAAATTACCCCTGATTGAGAACACTGATCTGAAGGGGTTCAAGTGCTTAAGGGATGAAATGCATGACTGAGATGCCCAAGGACCTAAACTGAAAATAGTGTGGTTTTCCTATCTGATTGTATTTCACTTCATTTGAAATACACAAATTGCTATGAAAAAATTAATAGCCAGATTAGCCAGATAATGTTTTATAAAGTATAATGTGTCATTTTGTACAAAAAGATTAATTAGGGATGTTGATTTATTAATCAAGTATCTCACCCTAATCTGTAGATTATATTCCACATCCATTTTTAATTTATTTATACTGCCCTCTTTATACTTAGGCTAATTAAAGAAAATAAGAAGCATCAGGAGCTCATATTAGACATTTGTTCAGAAAAAGACAATTTAAGAGAAGAACTAAAAAAAAGAACAGAAACAGAGAAGCAGCATATGAGCACAATTAAACAGGTAAAAATGAAAATCTTTAAAGACTATACTTCAATTTAAAAATACATTCCTGAAAATTTGTGATAAAATTGAAGTTCTGTAAGCTAAGTTGTATTTTAAATGCAGAAGGCCGCTTGATATGTAAAACATTCTTTTTTGAGAAGTGGGAATTACAGACTGTTTTTTTCTTCTACCTAAATTTATATTTTTATGTGATATGTGTGACTGTATTCTGTATATAATAGAAATCTGAGAAAAGAAGATTTAATCTGGCAGTCAGGCTGTTTTTACCAATTAAGGGAAGAAGTAATATATACATTGAAGTTTATATCTGGCTTTAGAATATTTTTAAGCTGATAGTTTAAGATGGTTCCATTCTCAGTTTTTCACTGTGAAGACTGGTTCTCTTACTGAGGTTTTATATGGCTTCCCCAGCCTTGTTGTTCCTTTCTTTTTCTTCCTTTCTTCTCTCTTTTTTTTTTAAACGAACTCTGATGCATGGATAAACAACGTGAATATTCAGACTGGTAGCAAAACTAAACTGCTCTTTATCTTTCTGAGCTGCTCTTCTGTGGACATCATTAGAAGCATTCTAGCCTTAAAATTCTTCCCTTTTGTCTCATTCTTCACAGAAAACTATGTAATGAAAATGACAATAAACAACTGGTAATATAATAGAAAATTAAACCAAGTTTCACTTGCTTATGCCTTTGTAAACAGTGTACTATTACATAGTTGGAAAGTAACTGTATTTGCCAATTTTACATATTTAATCCTGATTTTTATGTGTCCTAGGGTCAATACATGTAAACCAAACTTAGAATTTTAAAGTGTGAGGGAGCCTTAATAATGGACTGAATCCATATTTTGGTAGGCAGGTCACTGCTAATAGCTAGAATCTTCTGAATAGATGGGAGAGAACCAGAAGTTTGATTCAGTTCAGAGTGAAGTTTGTCCTCCCTGCAAGTAGAGATCGTTTAAAAAGCTGAAGACTGCCTATTCAGAAATGTCACAAGGAAGGCTGTGACTGTGTGTTTGATCAGGATAAATGCATGTTTTCATTTACATGAGATTTTATTTTTGTATTTGTGATGATGAAAAATTGGAGGAAGATACAGCTTCAGAATTGGACCTTTATAATTTGGCTCTAGATATATTGAAGGGAAGGACATTTCTAGGTGGGTGTAAAACCATGGAACCACAAGTTTGTTGTAAAAGAGAAAATTAGATTCATCTTTCTTTTACTAGCCATTATAGCTGGATTTTCTTAATGTTCTCCCCAGATCTGTACCACTCAATATGGCAGCCAGAAACCGCATATGGCTATTGATTACTTGAACAGTGGCTAGTTCAAATTAAGAGATGCTATAAGTGTAAAATATTTAATTTTGAAGATTTAGAAAAAAAATCTCTCCATTTTTCATGTTTATTACATGTTGAAATGATAATAGTTTAGATGTGTTAGGTTTAATATATTTATCCTCACCTTATTTTATTTTTGCTTTTTAAAATGTGGCTACCAGAAGATTTAAATTGCACATGTGGCTTGTATATTTCCACTGGACAGAGCTGCTCTGGAGAATTATGTCATAAGGAAAATTAGTACACATGTTCCATAAGCTATCATTTAGGGTATTTTTTTTTAACATCTTTATTGAGATATAAGTCACATACCATACAATTCACTCATTTCAAGTGTATATTTCAGCAGTTAGTTTTTAGTTGTGCAGCCTTTACCACAATTTATTACCCACAAAAGAAACCCCCTGTCAGTAGTTACTCCTCATTTCCCTCCATGTGTGCCTACCTTTTTTTGGTTCTCTATATAACTCAAGTATTTTGTTCTGTCCCTCTTTTCTGCCTCCTTTGTATTAAGCAAATATTTAACATTTAAATTGGTTTTCTAGTACTGTATTTTCCATTGATAGATAATTTGTCAATCTATATTCATAAGAAACACTTGTAGCTTTCTTTTCTTATGATGTCTTCACTTAGTTTTAGTGTCAGGGTAGTACTGACCTCACAGAATAAGCTGAGAAGTGTTTCTTCTTTTCAGGAGGTTTGTGAAGAATTGGTTTTGTAGAATTTACCTGTGTAGTTACCTAGTCTGAAAATTTTTTAGTGGGTAGTTTTGTAGTTTTATGAATTCAGTCTCTTTACTTATTATATAGGTCTATTCAGATTTTCTGTATCTTGAGCCTGTTTTGGTGGTGGTTGTCTTTCTAAGAATTGTCTATTTCATCTAAATTCATAGTTCATAGTATTCATTCACAGTTCCTTATTGCTGTAAGGTCACTATGTTCCTGTATCATTTCACTGGCTTCTTTTGGTCAAAGTAGCTAAAGTTTGTCAATTTCATTGCTCTTTCCAAAGAACTATTTTCTTGATTTTTGTCTAATTTTGTTTCATTGATTTCTACTCTAGTATTGACAATTTCCTTCCACTTGCTGGCTTTAGGTTTAGTTTGTTCTCCTTTTTCCAGTTTCTTAAGGTCTTCCTTTTTTTTTAAATACAGGTGTTTATAGCTATAAATTTCTCTCTAAGCACTGCTTTTGATACATTCCCTAAGTTTTGGTATGTTGTGTTTTTATTTTCATTCATCACCTAGTATTTTTTAATTTCCCTTGTGGTTTCTTCCATTGGTTATAGGTATTGTTTAATTTTCACATATTTTTTAATTTCTCAAATTTCTTGCTGTTAATTTAGTTCTAATCATTCCATTATGGTTGGAGAATATACTTTATATGATTTCAATCTATTGACTTTATTGAGATTTGTTGTCTGACCTAGGATGTGTTCTATCCTGGAGACTGTTCCATGTGCACTTAATGAGAATGTTTATTATGCTGTCACTAGGTGGAGTATTGTATAGATGTGTTAGAGACAGTTTTATAGTTTTGTTCAAGTCTCCTGTTTCCTTGTTAATCTTCTGTGTAGTTTTATCCATTACTGAAAGTGCTATATTAAAGTCTCCAACTGTTATTGTTGAATTGTCTGTTGCCTCCTTAATTAGTGTCAGTTTTTACTTCATATATTTTGGTGCTGTGTTATACAGAGTACATATGAACTTATAATTGTTACATCTTTTTGCTGGAGTGAGTCTTTAATCATTATGAAATGTACCTCTTTATCTTATTATAACATTTTTAGTTTATTTTGTCTGACGTTAGCGTAGCCAGTCCTGTTTTCTCATGATTGTTATTTGCATGATACATCTTTTTCCATCCCTTTACTTTCAGTTTATTTGTATCTTTGAATCTCAAGCACCACTTATAGACAGCATATTGTTTTTTATTCTAGTCTGACGATCTCTGCCTTTTGATAATGATAATCCACTCTCACTTAATATTATTATTGGCAGTGGATGTGTTCCTACCTTTTTTTGGTTTTCTATAGATCTCAAGTCTATTTTGTTCTGTCCCTCTTTTCTGCCTCCTTTGTATTAAGCAAATATTTAACATTTAAATTTCTTTCATGATATTTTCACTATATTTTTTGTATTTTTTTCCTTAGTGATTGTTCTAGAGTATACCATATACATCTTACCAGAATCTGCTTAAGATTTAACTTAATTCTAATGAGATTTAGAAACATTGTTAGCATTTACTTTTAATTTCTGTGGTTGAAGAAATTCTTTATGTTCATTTACATTGTATTTATTTGAGGTAATGGTGATCATTTTGATATACTTGTAAAAATAATCTGGCAATAATTTTCCTTACAGTTAGAATCAAGAATAGAAGAACTTAGTAAAGAAGTTAAAGTTTCCAAAGATAAACTAGTAGCTCAAGACTTTGCAGCTAAAAATGCAATTCAGCAGTTACACAAAGAGATGGCCCATCGGATGGAACAGGTATTTTTCAAGTCATTAACTTTATACTCTTATGACTCTTTTGTGTTTTTTAAAGTAAAGTAACCCTTTTAGACTATTTTGGTTATCAGTGATATATTAAGAATTGGTAATTTTATTTATATAAAAATATATTTTTTAAATGTTAATATAAACTACATGTTAATTAGAAAAAAAATTTAATAAAGGAAGTACAGTTGACCCTTGGACAACTTAGGGGTTTGGGGCAATAAACAGTTTCAAACTATGTAGCTGAAAATCCACATGCAGCTTTTGACTTCCCAAAAATTTAACTACTAATAGCCTACTATTGACTGGAAGCCTTACCAAAAACATAAGCAGTCAATTAACATGTATTTTGTATGTTATATGTAGTATTTTCTGTATTTGTAAAATGAAGTAAGCTAGAGAAAAGAAGATATTTTTTCAAATTGTCATAAATCTTCAAAAAGTTTTCCAAAATATTTATTGAAAAAAATTTGTGTTTAAATGGACCCATGCAATTCCACCCTATTTTGTTCAAGGGTCAGCTGTACATAGAATAAAAAATGCAAGTCCCCCTTCATCTGTACTTCTCCTTTCTTGCCTCCAATCCCTTTGTATCCTATTCCTTGTTCCACAGCTAGTCCATTGATGTTTTGGTATCTATCTTACCACACGTGCTGATTATATATAACATAAACTTTATCCTAGTTGATTGGAATCTTACTGTACATCTTTTTTTCCTACTTAATTCATTATCTTGGTAATCTTTTTGAGTTGGTATATATGGATTTCAGAAGAGGTCATTTTAATCAGTGCTTTTGTATTATTATTGCCTGAACTCCTTAGAGATGGGATCTTAGTTGTCTTACTTTTGTATCCACAAAACCTAGCACAATGCCTGACTAAAGGTCTTCACAGTGAATTGAATCAGAAAGGGTAAACTGACTGCTTACACTGTGAGATAGATCCTGTGCTTTTTGCCCTGAAGCTACTATCATAGGAAGAACTTCAGGAAACATGATCCTCAACTGTTATTCTGTGTTTCTTTACAATGTGGTGATCCTTCGCATTAGAAATACTATATATGTAAAACCTATACTGTCAGTTCACAAACCTTCTGTAGTGATTGAAGGGAAATGTAGAGGATAAGACCTTACGAAGTTGTTGGTTTTAGTAGATCCAAACCTAACTGATGATAAGTATTATTAATAAGCTTTGAAAAAATATATATTCTTTGGAGCTTATTATATTTTAATAAACAAAACTATATTTAAAAAGCAAAATAGTAGTTAGATATTCACAGTAACAGTTGAAACAGTAAAAAAATGCATCTTCTAAACCTTTCTTTTCCCATATCCCCGTTTCCTAGAGGCAACCTTGATGCTGGTTTCCTGTATAACCTTCCCAAAATGTTTGTTTATAGACACGCATGTTTATATTACCTTTCTTCCTACCATTTCTTCCCCTCTTTTAACAAATGGTAACATAGCTGCACTCACTGCTCTGTAACTGTTTCCTCCCTTAGTTTGAACAATGTTGGTGAAGTTAATAATAGTAATTAATATACTGAGTTTTAGCTATGTGCCAAGTCACATTCAAAACACTTTACAACTTATTTAATCTTCACAATAATCCTAAAGCGGGTAATAAGTAGATCTTGGAGATTTTTCCATTTAATTATTTATAGATCTGTTTCATTCCTTTTTGCCCTTAACTTTTTCATTTGATAATTTTCAAGCTGTAGAAAAGGTGAAGGAATAGTGGAGTGATCGCTTGTTTACCTTTCACTTAGACTCACCAAACCTGGTAATTTTTATTTAGGAATAGATCCCAGCCTGAGTGTGCACATGTTTATTATACACATACACACTCTCCTCAGTTTAATTTTCCAGCTTGTGATTTCTCCCTTTCTCAGACTAGATAGGTAGAACGAATTTAAATTTGAGCTTACAAAAGGATAGAGTTATATTAGAAATTCTCAGGAACTTTATAACATACCCCTCCATCCCCCCATGGCCTAGAATTGGTAAATGTCCATAGGACATGGTTTCAGCTATAGCATAACATCCTGAATTCATGCAACTTGTAGATTTTTTTTTTGCCTCTGGGATTTCCCATCCTTTCTTAAGAGCTCAACTGTGCATTTAAAAAAATGTTGTATTTTATCTAAAATTTTTTTCTATTTTGAATGGGGAGGGGGTTATCTGCCATATTTCGAGAAGCAGAACTGCTTATGTTTTATCTTAATTTAGCTGGCTGTTGTTCCCTGTTGATCATCTTTTTCATGCTTCCTTTATTATCATTCAGGTCAATGACACACATCTTAAACAGGTCAAGTCCTAAGACTTACTGTATCTTCTTCCTTTATCTGTGCCATAAATGGACTGACTCTATATAGAAGCTTAAGTAGTAGTTACTGTATTACCATGTTTAATACTCCCAATAGTCCTGTAAAATAGGTGCTGCTATTAGCTGTGTTTGGATCTATGATCAGAACTTTTTCAGCACCCAGGTTATTCATTTGCAGCTGAACCACAGACAGGCTTTTTGCATAACAGGACGTTCTGTGTACGTTCAGTGCATTTAAATGCACAGTAATCAAGAACCTCTTAATATTTTTGCCTTATCTGTTAATTAATTGTCTTTTTTTCTGATTTTCTGCTTCTCATCTCAATTTCAGTGAACTTTTCATGCTCAGCTGCCACCAGTTATGTTACTAAAACACACATTTAGTAAAAGGTTCTGATATATAAAATCCTTTGGCTTCCATTGCCTATAGGATAAAATCTCAACTTATTGGATAAAAATCTCAACATGGCAAGAGAAGCCCTTCTTCCTTTTAAGAATTAGCCCTTTCTTCCTAATCTCTGTTTATTTCATAATACTTCCTCCCCACTCCAACACCAAATTTAACCTCTACAAAATGACTTGATAGCCTCTAAATATATTGTAATATTTTATACTTCTAGGCATTTGCATATGATAATCACCTTACCTTGAGTTCCTTTTCTTGACTAACCCCTTGTCTGTTGAGCCTTACTTAAGCTTCAACATTTAGCTCAAGTATACCATCTTTAACCCTTCATGCCAACTCTTCCAGGGAGATGTTAGTATTTTTGTTATTTCGAAGAAATTTGTACATTCATCCACCAAAAATTATTATTTTAATAAATTTTATTGTACTGGTTTGTATGTCATTCATACCGGGTAGTGAGCTCTTCCAGGAGGGAAGCCATTACTTACTCCTCTTTATATTCCCAAAAATTCATACATTATCTGAGCATTAAGTTACCATGAAATCAGATTTCTTTTAAAGTTGACGTGACCATTAATTGCCTTTTCCATGTACAGTTATTCAGTTATCTAAAAATCTAACTAATTCTCCTAGCCAGGTTCAGCACAATTTTCTCAATACCTCTCCACAAATGTATTGTCAAATCCTCAGTGATCTCTGAAATCCCTACTTAAGTGTTCCCCTTGAAAATTAACAGGCTACTTCAGTGGGGAAAAAGTCCCAATTAGATGATTTTTTAAAATATTTATATAAATACAGTGATCTGAATGCTTACAAGATTTATCAGTTGTACTAGAAGCTAATAAACTCTTGTCCAGTCACTTTGCATCAGAGCAGAGGAGCTTTTTCTACATTCTCTTAAAACTATACCTTCTTCAATTCAGTTACAGTATCAGTTGACACTTACCACTAGATGCCATTGAAAAATTCCTAGTTTAAGGTTCTGTCTTCTATAAAATAAATGTGCTCCATCATATTTAAGAACTATGAATTTACTTAACTGAAGGGTTACTCATAGAAGTTTATATTATATGAAATTTCAGAATATAGAGAACTTGCCTATACTAATAGAGAATTTTAAATGAGTCTATAGATGTCACACTTAATCCAATTAGGTATTTCTTATTAAGTGCTATATACTTTAGAAAGCTTTTCATATATAAGAAATCAAATGATCATTGATTAGCACATGGCACTTCCTTTTTGTGAGGTTGCTAAGATTATAGATTTTAGAAATTGTCAGCCATACAAGTCAGGGTCCTGGCAGAAAACAAACTGGTGACTTAAGGAGAATAATAAAAAGACTCTTCTGAAAAGTATGGGCAAGGTTTAGGGAGCTCTACAAGGAAAAATGTAGGATCCTGAGACTGCTGGAGGAGCTAGTATCATTCTTTGGGCTAAAGCAATAGGGAGAGGAAGCAGAAAGTACAACCCAGAAAAGATGGCTCCATTGAGAGGGCACCTCACAGCAGTGGCCTTCAGTTGGCCTGTGGTGATCCTGGAGGAGGCAGATTGCACCCTGTGCCTTCCTTCCTGATCTTTGACTCATGCCTCCTGTTGGCTGAACCCAGCTGAAAGTATGAGGGCAAGGAGACTTGTTGGTGTGGTCCATGATGGTCATCTTCCTGCAGCACAGTGTGGAGTAGGGATGAGTGGAAAAGTGGATCTGAAGGAGTAAACAGAAAACAGCCCACCATGTCAGCCAAAGTAAAAGGAGTAGCAAAGGGTTAAAGCAAATATTAGTGATACTAACCTTTTTGTGTGTCATTTCTCTATAATTTTGAATTTTTCCTTTCATTTAAAAATTCTGTGACCCATTTCCTTGGACTGTTGTGCAAAACCAAAAAATATATTGGCAATAATTATAGGGAAATAATATTTCATTTTTATTTGAAAAAATGTTTTTTGTTAAAGCTAGATATTTTTTTCAAAGGCCAACAAGAAATGTGAAGAGGCTCGCCAGGAAAAAGAAGTAATGGTAATGAAGTATGTAAGAGGTGAGAAGGAATCATTAGACCTTCGAAAGCAAAAAGAGACTCTTGAAAGAAAACTTAGAGATGCAAATAAAGAATCTGAGAAAAACACAATAAAAATTAAACAGCTTTCTCAGGAGAAAGGACGCTTGCACCAGCTATATGAAATGAAGGTATAACTTGTACTGTTGTACCTTATTTGAAATGTATTCTCTTTCTTTTTCCTTACTTAATCAAATAATCATAACATGGTTAAACCACTATTAAAAATAAAGTTGTTTTTATTAGTTTACCTTCAAAGAATATGAATGCTTTAGTAATTCCAGTGTCTTGTTACCTGTCTGCAAAAAGATTTGGCTGAAAAAAGATGACATAATGACACATATTGTTCATTAAATAATTTTTCTTGACAGATCTTTTTAAAAACTTCATTTAAAATCTGTGTGTTGAAGAAATGAGATTCTGCCTAAAAGGAAGATTTTATTTTAGGAACATATGTTCACCAAAGTGTCAAAATGTGAATTTTTTGAGCTAGAAGTATAATTTATAGTCTTATTTTTTAGATAGAAATATGATTTATAATATTAATGTAATACTTATTCATCATAGAATACAATTTATATTTTTTTGCAGAAAACATGTTCTTAGATGCTGTCCAAGGACATTTAATTACTGAGTGATTCAGAGCCATTGCTGTTAACTAGCAGCCTCATGGCATGGTCTTGTTTCCAGTGGATTATCATTTCTTAGTGGTGAATGTTACTTTTTTATTAATTAACTTTCAGTTCAGCAGTGCTGTCATTGTTCTCAGGAATTCTGGCAAAACCAATTTAATCTGTATTTCACCTTCGTGCGAGTCAGTTGAGAGGACTCATAATGGTATACTTGTTCTTACAACATATCTAGTTGGTTAAAATATAAATGTTAATCATCTTATATCTATTAATTGGATTTAGGATGTTATTGCCCTCATGATTTGAATTTTGAATCAGTTTTATGGCTTGTAAGCCAGCCATAGTATGGTAGCTTCAGAATTATTGTGCTATTGCACTGGTAATTTTGAGGAGGTATGAAAGATGCATAAATACTGGTTATTGATTATTTAAATGAAAAATATGACCTAGTGATATTATTTTAGGAAGCTGAAACTACTAGACTCATCAGAGAAATAGACAAATTAAAGGAAGATAACAACTCTCACATCATTAAAGTGAAATGGGCACAAAATAAATTAAAAGCAGAAATGGATTTACACAAGGTAAGTACTGTAATACAGTGAAAATATTACTAGAATCAGTTTTAAAAGAAAATGCAGTAATAGTGACTGAGGCATAAAGCTTAATTTAGTGACTCCTGTAGGATAGGTTGGGCCTGAATATTTGTTGATTGTGAAAAGACTTAGATGAACATACTAAATTGGACAGAATGTTAAATTTTGTCATTCATTGCTTACACCCCAAATTGATTTTGTTCTTTAAGCATTTTTTATATGGCTCCATTGAGAGGGCACCTCACAGCAGTGGCCTTCAGTTGGCCTGTGGTGATCCTGGAGGAGGCAGATTGCACCCTGTGCCTTCCTTCCTGATCTTTGACTCATGCCTCCTGTTGGCTGAACCCAGCTGAAAGTATGAGGGCAAGGAGACTTGTTGGTGTGGTCCATGATGGTCATCTTCCTGCAGCACAGTGTGGAGTAGGGATGAGTGGAAAAGTGGATCTGAAGGAGTAAACAGAAAACAGCCCACCATGTCAGCCAAAGTAAAAGGAGTAGCAAAGGGTTAAAGCAAATATTAGTGATACTAACCTTTTTGTGTGTCATTTCTCTATAATTTTGAATTTTTCCTTTCATTTAAAAATTCTGTGACCCATTTCCTTGGACTGTTGTGCAAAACCAAAAAATATATTGGCAATAATTATAGGGAAATAATATTTCATTTTTATTTGAAAAAATGTTTTTTGTTAAAGCTAGATATTTTTTTCAAAGGCCAACAAGAAATGTGAAGAGGCTCGCCAGGAAAAAGAAGTAATGGTAATGAAGTATGTAAGAGGTGAGAAGGAATCATTAGACCTTCGAAAGCAAAAAGAGACTCTTGAAAGAAAACTTAGAGATGCAAATAAAGAATCTGAGAAAAACACAATAAAAATTAAACAGCTTTCTCAGGAGAAAGGACGCTTGCACCAGCTATATGAAATGAAGGTATAACTTGTACTGTTGTACCTTATTTGAAATGTATTCTCTTTCTTTTTCCTTACTTAATCAAATAATCATAACATGGTTAAACCACTATTAAAAATAAAGTTGTTTTTATTAGTTTACCTTCAAAGAATATGAATGCTTTAGTAATTCCAGTGTCTTGTTACCTGTCTGCAAAAAGATTTGGCTGAAAAAAGATGACATAATGACACATATTGTTCATTAAATAATTTTTCTTGACAGATCTTTTTAAAAACTTCATTTAAAATCTGTGTGTTGAAGAAATGAGATTCTGCCTAAAAGGAAGATTTTATTTTAGGAACATATGTTCACCAAAGTGTCAAAATGTGAATTTTTTGAGCTAGAAGTATAATTTATAGTCTTATTTTTTAGATAGAAATATGATTTATAATATTAATGTAATACTTATTCATCATAGAATACAATTTATATTTTTTTGCAGAAAACATGTTCTTAGATGCTGTCCAAGGACATTTAATTACTGAGTGATTCAGAGCCATTGCTGTTAACTAGCAGCCTCATGGCATGGTCTTGTTTCCAGTGGATTATCATTTCTTAGTGGTGAATGTTACTTTTTTATTAATTAACTTTCAGTTCAGCAGTGCTGTCATTGTTCTCAGGAATTCTGGCAAAACCAATTTAATCTGTATTTCACCTTCGTGCGAGTCAGTTGAGAGGACTCATAATGGTATACTTGTTCTTACAACATATCTAGTTGGTTAAAATATAAATGTTAATCATCTTATATCTATTAATTGGATTTAGGATGTTATTGCCCTCATGATTTGAATTTTGAATCAGTTTTATGGCTTGTAAGCCAGCCATAGTATGGTAGCTTCAGAATTATTGTGCTATTGCACTGGTAATTTTGAGGAGGTATGAAAGATGCATAAATACTGGTTATTGATTATTTAAATGAAAAATATGACCTAGTGATATTATTTTAGGAAGCTGAAACTACTAGACTCATCAGAGAAATAGACAAATTAAAGGAAGATAACAACTCTCACATCATTAAAGTGAAATGGGCACAAAATAAATTAAAAGCAGAAATGGATTTACACAAGGTAAGTACTGTAATACAGTGAAAATATTACTAGAATCAGTTTTAAAAGAAAATGCAGTAATAGTGACTGAGGCATAAAGCTTAATTTAGTGACTCCTGTAGGATAGGTTGGGCCTGAATATTTGTTGATTGTGAAAAGACTTAGATGAACATACTAAATTGGACAGAATGTTAAATTTTGTCATTCATTGCTTACACCCCAAATTGATTTTGTTCTTTAAGCATTTTTTATAATACATTTTATGTTAATCATTGTCAGAAATTTAGGGAAAAGAGGAGAATGTAGATTATCACAATTGAAAGTAAACTCTGGAAATTAAAAAAAATTATAGTGACACTAAATTTCTTAAATTTAAATTCTTATTTAAATGTAAATATAATAAAGATTTTAAGAATGATGATCTGTTGATGAATATAATTCCATTGGAATTGTGCTTACTGAGTATAATTTTGTTAAAAAATTAATGTAATGAAAAGTGATTATAAAGGCTGTTACCTGATATAATTTTAAATACCAATTGAACCGACGTAAGAGGTAATAAAAATCTGATGATAGAATGTTAAGTCAAAAAACAGCTCTGAAATATGATTTAAATAGGTGAGCAATGTTATTTATAATAATGTTGAGGTTTCCAAAAATAGGGTTAATTATATTTAAAACTGTAATCATGGGTTATCTCATTAAGTAATTCTAAGACAGAATTGTTAATAACTTTTGGATATTTGTATATAATGCTATCAGAAAACTGTAAGGAGAGTTGTCTATGTCGATAGTGGTCAAAGGTAGGCTAGAGAATGGTGGGTTTCTCTCAAGTTCTGAGCTAACTGCTGATCAGTGTGTGAGTGTTGGGAGACTACAGACGCAGATAAAGAACTGCCAGAAACAAGTAGGGGCAACAGTCCTTAGAGCTCACATAGGGCTACAAACCATTTAAACATTTCCCTTTGCTTTGTGACACAGAATGAGGAATTAAAATTTCAAATCCTGAAGCATGATAATGATTTATAAGTACCTGAGTTGATTCAAGATCTGCACACAATGTCTATCTTATGTCTTAAGATGTCGTATCTAATACCTGTAGCTCTTTCCTCATCTGCATTTCTAAGAGACAGGTCCTAAAATTTATTAGAATACTAGCATTGAAGAATAAAAGACTAGTCAGGTCTTCTGTGAGCCAAATATGTCCAAAGAATAGGTGATAACAGACAGTTAATGACAGTTTTCAGGTCAGATGAAACCAGATAGTCTGTAAGTAGGCTAGAGAAATTGTTTAAGGGTTATGAGATAGGGTTTCATAGTGTAGATTGCTAGAAAATGAAAATAACAAGCATATTGACCCAGTGTGTGGAAATTGTAAATTTATGAATTCTTTTAAGACATTAATCAGCAAGATGAGCAAGCATGTTACTGTGTCTTCCTCTGTGCACAACACTGGATTAAATAATATGGATATAAAAGCCATAGAAGACAAAGTAGTTGCTTTCAAAGATTGTCCGGATTGGGATCCTGGTTACGTGTGTGTGCGCACGCGCGCACGTACTGGATGTGAGAGGAAGTCTCTGGATCAAAAGATGAGACAGTTACAGGCTAGGCAGTGTAGGCTACCTCTTAAGATGTGAGTAAGAGCCAGGAGGACTCTTAGCAAATTTTTCTCCAGGCACTCTTTCCAGTTTCTAGTTCCTGCCTACCAAGGACCTTGGTATTAATACCGGAGTGCTAGAGGTCACTTGATTGACTGTGGCCAGTAACTTCCAATCAGCCCTTGAGAATATATTCCAAGAACTTAGGTCTTAGACTAAGTAGACTGGACACCATGATGATCAATAGAATCATCAGTAGGGTCGAACAATAGAAATGGTTTCTTTTGTCCCCATCCCTTAACTCCCTCAGAGGTTAACCTGAAACTGTTTAACACCTAGCCTCTGAAACCAGAAGCCTTTTGAGTATAGTATTTCATGTACTTGTTTACCTGCCTGGTTGCTACCTGTTTATCTGGATAGCATATTTACTGAATATTATGCTCTTAGGTCCTAGAGATCTTTGTACTCACTTTAATATTTTTGGAGCAGTAGATTTGGCTAGCAACAAATGTGGCAGAGATCTTTGTAGACCTCCTGGGTGTTTGAGTGTGCTGGGTGCCTGCCAGACATTTTTGCTTCTGAGACAACCAGTAAAGTGGAATCTTGGGCATCCGGGCACCATCTAGACCAGCAGGGCATGAGAGGCTATAATGTACTGCAGACCTGATGTGGAACTAGGGGTTGGCGTGTTTGATAGTGTGTTCCATTGACAAGACTGCCACATACTACACTTTTCTTCCAGGGTTATCATGTTGTCAATGATAGCCTCCTTCTTAAAAGGTTTACCTTTAAGGCCCACTAGCAATTAGATGCTATGGCTCATTTTTAATTAGCTTTGCTATTATCGTACTTAGTAAAACTATATTCTATGCTCTGTTCTATAGTCTACACTTTATTCTATTCTGTAACTATATTGTGTTATGGGGTAAGAGTCCAGATTTAATCCTCCCACCTTAAACTAAAAAAAAAACAAAAACAAAATAAGTGAAATATAGCTTTTTAGACTTAGGACAACACAGGCAGCATAGGACAATGGTCCCTGAGAGAAGGGGAAAAGCAAGATGTAATACATGGAAAATTTCAAGGTTGCAGCAAAAGGAAAGGAATCCAAACAGATCCCAGTCTCCCTGAATTGAGGAGACAGGATTTTGAAGTATGGAGAGCAGGGCTGAGTACCAGAGAAGAGAAAGATGCGGAGATGTTCCCCTCAATTCCTCATTGATCTCACTATGGATCAGTATGTGTGTGTGAGAAAGCTACAGAGGTGGAGAAAGAACTGCCGGAAAGGAGCAGGGGCAACAGTTCCTAGAGTCACACAGGACTAGGAACTGTTCATGTTCCCACCAGCTAAGAGAAAGCCCCCTTATACACAGAGCATTGAGTGGTCTTCAGAAGGGTGTTTCTTTAGCAGTGGGGACTAATTAGCCTTACTAAAGTCTGTTATGGACCTAACAAAGCTTTGAAGAAAGCTTCAAATCAAATTACTATGTTTCAAATAACTATGTCCTAGAAGAAAGCCCAAAAATATTTAAATGAGTACAAAATCTCCAAGACCTAAGAGCATAAAATTCACAGTGTCTAGTATTCAGTAAATAATTACCAGACATGCAAAAAAGCAGGAAAATATAGCCTGTAATGAGAAGAAAAGAACCAATCAATAGAAAAGCCAGAAGTGATGTAGCTGATAGAAGTAGTAGACAAGGATATTAAAAGTTATTATAAATCCACTCCATATATTCAAGAAGATGTATATTAAGAAGAGATATTGAACATATAAAAAAGGCCAAATTGATATACTGTCTGAGATAAAAAAATATATTGGATGGGATTAACAGAAGATTAGACATTATAGAAGGCAAGATTAGTGAATTTGAAAAACATATATGAAAACATAGGAGTAAAAAACCATATGCTAGTGACTCCCAGATTGATAACTTCCACTCAGAATTCCAGATTCATGTGTTCCAGTGACTTCCTGACATCTGACATGTTGGATGATTTATAGGCATTTTAAACTGAACATGCTTAAACTTGAGTGGATCATGTGCCCCTTCCCCCCATTGCTTCCCCATCTTGATAAATGGCAATTCGTCCTTTTAGTTACTTAGGCAAAAACCTGGATACATCCATGAATTCCTAGTCACCTATCCAGCCTGTTAGCAAATCTTACCACCTTTTTCAAGTCTTCATCTTTTCAGTGGATCTCAGTGAGACTTTCCCTGGCTATTCTCTCTCAGCTTTCAACACCTCCCCTATACTTTGTCACATCCTTATTTTATCTTTATGGCTTAGCTTTTGTCACCATCTAATAAGACATTTTCACTTACATATTTTATTTATTGTCTGTTTTTACTACTGGCATCATCAGCTTTATGAGAGTAGAGATTTTGTCTGTTTTCTTATATTACTATTTCTCCAGAGCATAGAATAGAGCCTGAGTACATAGTGGGTGCTCAGTGAATACTGAATGAATGACACATAGTACCTAAACCAAAACATATTTAATGTGATTCTCAGTGTTCTTTTATTCAGTGATTAAACTTTTTAATAAATATTTGGCATATACAAATATCTCAGTTGCTATTTTTTGAGTGAATAAAGTGAATAACAACTATGTGCCAGGCTGAAAAAAAAAAGGAAAAGTTTCTCTCTTTTCCCTTATTCCCCTATTTTTTTGAGTAAATATTTTTAAAAAACCAGTATTTGAAAGTCTCCAAATATTTATATTTTTTAAGTTTTACTGAGTTTTAATAAAAATCAAATTACCAAAAGGCTGGCAACTTAAAAGTATATATCTAGGTACTTCACTGTATGGTAGATTGAGCCACAAAATGACATAAAAGAATCAGTATATGAAGATAGATACAATTTAGTTCAAGAAATGAAAGACATTCCAAGTATAGGAGCAATAAGAAAAAAGGGAGATGAGTATTTGGTGTTTGGGAAGACCAACCTAACTAGAGCAGAAGGCTTATATTAATTAGATATTCATTCTTTAATTCCATAAACATTACTTGAACAATTAATGTGTTGCAAGTACTGAGCTAGGTGTTGTCTAAAAGCTGTATCCCCCTTGGGAGGGAATGTAAGCTGCATTACAGAGTATCAACTCTTGTAACCTAGAGATGCCCTGAACTCCCTCTGTGGGAAGACAGAATAGCAGTGTCTACCTCTTCCTGAGGAGGAAGTGATACCTGAACTGGCATTTGAAATGCCCAAACTGTGGGACTGGAGGGGCTACTCTGGAGAATTTTGGAGAAAGAGTTGCAGGGAAGGGATGTATCTTCGAAAACCACCACAGGAGGTAGAAAGACATTTAAGAGTCAGAGAAGGCAACAACAAAGAGAGGAAAAACAGAAGTATATTGTCTTGTAATGGAAACAGGAAGGATATTCAGAGTCAGGAGTAGTCATAAGCAGGTAAGTAAAAAAGAGAAGATGTAATTGGATTCGATGAGGGAGTAGTCCTCGCAAACCTTTAGAACTGTTACTTGTAAGAGAGTGGTTAGGAACAGAGACCCAATCGCAGCGGTTTATTTAAGAGTATGATAAAGGGCTCTGATAAACAGCCAGATGAAATACATAGGGCAAGGTCTGGGTGGGTCCCAAGCACAGGAGCATCTGTCCTTGTAGGGTCAGGGTGAGTCGCCCTCCCAGTGTGGTTGTATTCGCCAGCCTGGAAACTCTCCAAACACCATACTTCTGGAATTTTATAGATGCTTCCTTATGTAGGCATGATCAGTCATTAACTTCATTTTCAGCCCTTCTCCCCTCTCAAGAGAATGGGAGGCAGGGCTGGAAATTCCAAACTTCTAATCATGACTTGGTCTTCCTGGGACTACCCCTCATCCAGAAGCCCACACAGAGTTGCCTCATTAGAAGGAGAGACTCCTCTCACCCAGGAAATGATAAGATAGTGAGGAATTCTGTGTCTGGAACGGATGTTAAAGACCAATGTTAAAACAAATGCTCCCAATATTCTTATCACTTAGGAAATTACATGGGGTTTCAGGCGCTCTGTGTTAGAAACCAGGGGTAGAGATCAATTTTTACTTCTATTATCTCAAATATTTTTGTCAATGCAGGAAACCAAAGATAAACTCAAAGAAACAACAACAAAGTTAACTCAAGCAAAGGAAGAAGCAGATCAGATACGGAAAAATTGTCAGGATATGATAAAAACATACCAGGTATGCATAATTTTCCAATAGATGAGTAATAAATTACACCAAATACTCTTGTTTCATTAAATTTTTGTATCTGCTATATTTGAAGTGTGGAATGGATTTGGCAGGGCAGGTAAATAAAATACAGATGATTTCCTATGTAAATACTTGCACCTTAAATCGAGAAGTTTTTAACAAAGTAAAAACACTATAAACTATCACAATGAAAAGTATAAGGAAATGTGTAAGTTAAAAAAAAAACACTGAATTATGTTACATATCTTGAGTATGCTACTCTTGTGCAAAATTGGCATATTTAAAATCTTTGAAGTCATATATAGATATATAAGCTATGTATTTCAAGTTAGTAAACTCAATTGCAAAAGGCTTCTTCACTTTTCAAAGTATAAAACTTTAAAGATTAAGTGGTACTTTGTTTCCTTTCCATTAGGAGTCAGAAGAAATTAAATCAAATGAGCTTGATGCCAAGCTTAGAGTCACAAAAGGGGAACTTGAAAAACAAATGCAAGAAAAATCTGACCAGCTAGAGGTGAGCAGCTTTACTCTTGTAGTCCTTAGACTGTGTAATAAATACAGGAGAGAAATAGTGAGTACTCTTGTCATCTGCTTATAAGGCCTTTTGGAAGGAACAGGCAATAAATATGAGATCTAGTTTGATATGTAATGATTTATAGTTTCTTTTAAACTTTTTAAAAGATGCATCATGCCAAAATAAAAGAACTGGAAGATCTGAAGAGGACGTTTAAGGAGGGCATGGACGAGCTACGAACGTTAAGAACAAAGGTAATTAGATCTTTTGTCATGACTCCAAAGGAAAGGTAGATAGATACCTTTAATTTTGAACTCAATCTGAATTTTTTTTTAATGCTCTGAAAGGATAGTTACATAGAAATGGTCAAATAAAAGAACTCAGAAGATTATAATATCAATTCCCTGGCAACAAAATTGACTCTTGTTGAAATGAAAATATCTTCTGCTTCAAATCCCTTTGAAGTATTTGCCAAACATTCCTGTTTTACACACATTTGGTCTATCTATAACTTAGCCTTCCTTGGGCCTCTGTTCTAAGGCAGTCTTATCAGCAATTAATTAGAAAAATAGTTGGGCTTTAGAAATGTGAATGTAGAAAATAACAGAAAGACTTTGCATTTTTCTAACAATCTATTAAATCCTTTCCATTAATTAAAGGCCTTTCCAAGCCTTTAATATGAATGTGAAATATTATCAGTGTACATCATTGATTTATTTAGAAATAGGCCTTTAGGTAACTTTAAAGAACTTAAGTTCTGTTAACTTGTAATCATGTAGTAATTTTCAAAGTTTCTTTCATGTACCCCTCTATTTGTTCTTCATGCCAATTCTTGGAAGTAGTTAGGGAAGGTATATCCTCTTGTCAGGCGAGGAAAAAGAGATGCAGCAACAATGAAGTGACATGCTAAATCCCCTGTGACTAAATACGAGAAACCAGAGACTGAAACCCAGGACTGTTAACTTCCCCTTGTACTTTCTTCTCTTAATTAATATTGCTTCAGCATTCAGCTTGGATTATTAATATATCACTACTATCTGAAATAGTTAATAAGGAACAAGAAAATATTGTTTGTAGTTTAACTTGGTTATGATTATTTGATAGGTGAAGTGTCTAGAAGATGAACGATTAAGGACAGAAGATGAATTATCAAAATACAAGGAAATCATTAATCGCCAAAAAGCTGAAATTCAGAATTTACTGGACAAAGTGAAAATTGTAGATCAAATACAGGAGCAGCATCAGAGGTATAAAATGAGCAAGTTCTGTTTGTGTTGATCCATGGGCTTTTAAATTCTATCTCAGATTTCTATTTTTAAATGTAATTATTGCATTAAATGAGAATAATTTTACTAGGTAAAAAGTTTTTAATTCCTGTCTCCTTTTGAAGTTTTTTGGATTATCTTTGAAGTTCCTATCATGGCTTCTAAAAATCAAAGTTTATATTCGCTAAACATTGGCATGGTTCTTTATCCATTCCTTAACTTTCAAATTGTTACTTATGCACAGAACTTTTTCTTCTAAAAGGTAGGTAAGTCTATCTATATCTTTGCATATAGGTAGCTTGAGGTCAGGAGCTGGCGTTATTCCTTGGCTTTTTATAAAACCCATTAGGTAAAATCAACCTCTTACCTGGCAGTGCCTGGATTCAGGTTGAATGCAAGGATCTTCTTTTTCATAACTTAACCAAGACCCAAGCTGCTGACTATTGCTTAAGAAATCTTCACCATCATCCAGATTGAGGCTGCTGTAAAGTCATGGTTAACAGCCTCAACTGGGAATGTTAGTATACCTCCAATTCTGCCATGTGTCCTTGGAGCCTTTTCCCTACCTTCTTAGTATCTCTTCCAATCTTACTGCGTTCTTCATACTTCTGGTCTTTCCCCTCACATCCATATTCAGTCTTGACAGGTGATTACCTCTTGCTTTACAGAAAAAATGGGAGTGCTCAGGTAACAGTTCTCTCAACCTCTTGTTATCCTATGAATTTGCCTTCATCTGCAACAGTTCTTTCTTTTATTATGGAAAAAACGTTCCTGTTCCTTCCTCTCTGAATCTAATTGTTCTCCCTACTTATACTGTAGATCCCATGTTCTTCTGCCATTTCAGGATCTTTCTTGATTATTCCTTCTTTATCCCTTGTCTCTTACCTCTCTCTTTCTACTGACTTTTTTCTCTTCTACATTTATTATATCATAAAAACATTAAAACTCCTATGACGTTTCCCTACCTTTCTCCTGTCTTTCACAACCAAACATCGTAATATAATCATCTATACTCATCCTCCATTTCTTGACTTCCTTTGTTCTATTCCTATCTACTTCATTCTAGCTTCTACCCCAACATTCCTTTAAAAACTGCTAAACTTCTCCGTAAATCTAGTAGACACTTCTCAGGCTCACCTTGCTTGAGTTCGGTATTAACGCCACTAAGCATATTACCTCTTAACACTCTGCTCCTTGGCTTTATTTCATCATGCTCTCCTGGTGTTCCTCCCCACTTTTCAGCCATTCCTTTTCTTAGTCTCCTTGGCAGTCTTCTTTTTGTCATAAAACTCTATTTTGTTCTTTCTTAATTAAAATCACCCATGGGTGAGCCTAACTGTTCTATAGTACGCTGCAAAACCTTCAAATCATTATCTTCAGTCCTTTTTGCTGAGTTCCAGACACAGAAGTATCTAAGAGCCCTCAGACTTTAATGTGTCCACAATGGAATCATTGATCCTGCCCACAGATAACGCTGCTCTGGTGTTCCGGAGATGATGAGTGTGGCATCCACGTGATATCCCGTCCCAGGAACCTGAGGGCCTTTGCTGGCTCTTCTTTCCCTGTTGCACATCTAACTGGTCATAAAGTATTGTTGATGCTAACTAATGTCTTTCAAGTGTATTTACTTTTTATCCCCACTGCTGCTGCAGTCATCCAAGCTATTAAATCTCTGATCCGGGAAACTGGCACAGCTTCTAAACTGGTTTTTTTTTTTTTTGCTTACGTACCTTTTAATCCATTTCCCACTTTGTGGTTACTATAATTATTTTGAAAAGGAAATCTCAAAACCTTTCAGTGATTTCCCATTGCCTCAAGAATTGCCTAGTGAGTTCAGATGCCTTCGCGTGACTGGGAAGATCCTTAGTGGCCTGGCTTCTCCCTTGCACCTTCTCCCCGTCTTTCCCTCTTGTGCTTCAGCAGTAGTTAACAAATGTTAGCAAGTTAACATTTAGTAGTTAACAAATCAACAAATGTTGATTGATTGTCTTCTACGTGCCCGGCTGCGTATGTGTGCTAAGGATGTCATGCAGTCTTTATCCTCATCAATACTGAACGTCTGTCAGTAACAAGAAGTCATTCTCTTGTTCCCTTCCCAGCGTCAGCACATACTGTTTCCTCTGCCTGGAACATATTTTGTGCTCCCACTCACTTGTATTTTTCCCTTCGGAATTACTGAACTATGGCCCATGATCCAAATCCAGCCCACTGCCCCTTTTTGTAAATATCATTGTTTGTTTGTATTTTTGGAAATAACCACTCTCTTTCCTTCATGTGTTGTCCATGGCTGCTTTCACATTACAGTGCAGTTGGACAGTTGCAACAAAGGCCGTAAGCCCTGGGCCTTTCACAAGGAAAGTTTGCTAACTCTTTAAGTTTTAGTTTAAGCATCACTTACACATTAGGTGACCTGCTCTGTGCTTTCACCATCATCGAAAATGTTTTATCACAATCATATAATTTCCCTACTTGACTGAAAGCTCTTTGAAAGCAGGGACCATGTTAGTCTTGCTCACAGGTCTTCCCACTCTTAGTTCCTAGCATAGATCAGGCATTCAGAAAACTCCAGATAAAAATTTGGATGAATGAATAAAAGTACCCTATAAAGCATTTCATTTGACAAAAAGTCCCAAACCATTAATTTAATGTCCTTTAACTTTTTTAATAGTTTATTTATATCACAATCATATAATTTCCCTACTTGACTGAAAGCTCTTTGAAAGCAGGGACCATGTTAGTCTTGCTCACAGGTCTTCCCACTCTTAGTTCCTAGCATAGATCAGGCATTCAGAAAACTCCAGATAAAAATTTGGATGAATGAATAAAAGTACCCTATAAAGCATTTCATTTGACAAAAAGTCCCAAACCATTAATTTAATGTCCTTTAACTTTTTTTAATAGTTTATTTATTTTTTCTTAAATATAAACTTTGTTTTTTAGAGGTAAACAAGAAATTGAAAATTTGAAGGAAGAAGTGGAAAGTCTTAATTCTTTGATTAATGACCTACAAAAAGACATCGAAGGCAGTAGGAAAAGAGAATCTGAGCTACTACTGTTTACAGAAAAGCTCACTAGTAAGAATGCACAACTTCAGTCTGAATCCAATTCTTTGCAGTCACAATTTGATAAACTGTCTTGTAGTGAAAGTCAGTTACAAAGCCAGTGTGAGCAAATGAAACAGATGAATATTAATTTGGTAAGTATGAATGTACATTTACTTTTAAAGCAACATACAAGAAACACATACTGAATTGCCCTAATAGCATAAACTTAGTGGTAGTTGATTTAAGCTCTTTTTTTTATTAGTACTGACCTTCTGGTAACTTCAAATGCTGTGAGAAATAGTTTTTCCTTTCAACTTATGTAATTTATAATAAATTTCTCCCTAAAATGGTTATGAAGAAGTATTTTATTTTTGAAAATGAGAGTTTTTGTCATTCTTAACTGGAATTACTATATATTTTTAAGTACTTTAAATTTCTATATTTTTATAGTTTAAAAATGGTTTAATATTTCTAAGTTATGAGAGTCTTCAAGTCACTTGTAAAAATAATGTGAGACTTTTGTCCACAAATGCAAACCTGTATCACATCTTGTTTTGCAATGTTTAGAATAATAATGCAAATGCATTGATCTATGCCCCTGCATTACTAATGAGGGATTTGAAGTGCTCAGTAAACAAAACTTAGTAAGGTGTGATGACAGAAGAATCTACTATCAAGGACCTCATATTTTTAAGGTTTTAAACTGTGAGCAATAATGGAAACAAACAGATATTAAAACTCATATTTTTAAGGTTTTAAACTGTGAGCAATAATGGAAACAAACAGATATTAAAACTAGTGTTTTTTGTTTTATGTAATATTAAGGGAAGTAGATTGTTGAAGGAGGAAGAACTGCGAAAAGATGAGGTCCAGACGCTACAAGCTGCACTCACTTGTAGACAAACAGAAGTTAAAGCATTGAGTACCCAAGTTGAAGAATTAAAAGATGAATTAGTAACTCAAAGACGGAAACATGCCTCTAGTGTCAAGGATCTTACCAAACAACTTCAGCAAGGTATAAAATTCTCCTACACTTAGACCTTGAATATTGATTCTTTTAATCATTAAGGATTTATTTTTAAGCAAATATTTTTTATTTAAGTTTCTACTACAATAATGAAAGCCATATTTTTTTAAGGTATTAATGTTCATAAAGCAATTGCTAAACTTCTTGTAGTTCCATGAATAGTCTGTAGCATCTTCTGTATTAAAGGACATTTATTCACAAAAATCACAAAATGTAAGAATTCGGAAAGAAGTAGTGTCTAAACTTTTTTGATATATATAAAAACATATTCCTGTTAGTGGAAAGGTTTTAAGCATTTGTTCTCAATTTATATGTATGTTTATTAAACATGCCAGTCTATTCTGTGTACATTAGAAAACATGAAAAACAAATTTTAAAACATCAGATTAAATAGAAATAGAAATAGAAATCCTAGTAATTTTCCCCTCCACATGTCTGTGAGTTGTTTTGCACAGCATCTAGGGTATCTGCACTCCACGTGGTAGACGTCTGACTTACAGAGTACTGAGACCTTACCTTCCTTCTTACAGGAAACTGAGACCAAGGAAGGTTATAAATCACTCAAACATAATGATTAACAGCTGGAACTGGAACCTAGATTTCTTTAATTTGAAAGTACTATTGTTGGGAGTCTGTGCTATGTGCATGGATACAAAGATGATAAGCATATATTCTTACTTTCTATTCTCTTGCTCCCCACTGCTTTGTTTGTGTTAAAATAGGGTGACCTATAGTAATAAGATAAAAGAGACTTAGCATTTACTTAATATGAATGTATTTGAATATTTGCCATAAGAATTCAGTTTGTTTTTATAGATGCAATTGAATGGAAATTTTGGGGAAATTTCTGGTACTGTAGAGATCTTAAAAATAAATCTTTTGGGATCCCAAAAGTTATGTTCAGTGTACCTAAGTGATCCCAGTGTCATTTGTTATCATAATGTTGTTTCTTTACATTTTGTATTTGACCTGTATATTTCTAGATGTCATTTTATATGAATGGTGCCTACAGCCACCCTCAAGTACATAATTCGAGAATTTTCTCTTGTTTAAGCCATTTTGACCTAAGTGGTTTTAGCAATTAAAATCAGTGATGGGAGCAAATAAATGGTCATGATAATTGTCATAAGTAATTTGCTTTTTTTTCCTATAGCACGAAGAAAATTAGATCAGGTTGAGAATGGAAGCTATGATAAAGAAGTCAGCAGCATGGGAAGTCGTTCTAGTTCATCAGGTAAAAAACGTAATGGTTTTAGTTAATAGTGATTGATTACAAAGCAAAATGATAATTATCAAATATCAGTGTGTTTATCATTTTTGTAATGCCAGGAACCATAAACATATCATCTACTCTGCAGACCAGTCATGTGAGGTGTTAGAATTTCCCTTTGGTAGGTGAAGAAACTATGATTCAGAGTGATTCGGTGGCTTACCCAGAATCCACAGTGACAGAGCTCTAGGACTCTAGAGTCCTTGCATGTCATTACACTGTACTGCTTCCCAGGAGTTGCACACATTAGGGGAGAAATGTCATCAACTGTTAGTAGGAAAATTGTATAGTAGAAAGAACATTGGATTTGAAATTACACATAGGTATTTAGATTCCAGCTCTTGTTATTTATTAGGGTATGACTTTGGATAAGATATATTATTTGTCTTAAATCTACAAAATAGGGTTGAAAAAAATATCTTTGTGAAGAGAAGAAATTCTTCTCAACTGATACTGGTAAAAATAATAGGTAACATTTACTTACTGCTTACTATATGTGCTCTTCTAAACACTTCATACATTAATTCCTTTAAATGATAAAAATCCTGTGAGGTAAATAATATTATTCCCATTTGAAGATGAAGTGATCAAGGCATGGAGGTTTGAATAACTTATCCAAAGTTACGCAGCTAGAAAGTGGAAGAGTAGGATTTAAACAGGGCGACTGGCTTCAGAGCTTAACCCACCGGCTGTTTCTGTCTTCTCTCTCTGTCTCTGTGTCTGTGTCTGTGACTCTGTCTCGGTTTAATTGTGGTCTCACTTCAGACTTGTTATTCTGACTGTTTCTTGAGTTTCTTGTCTCTCTATTGCCACTTCCTTTTCCTGAGAGACCTAAGAGACCCTTTTGGTACTTCTATTGTCACTGTGTTGAGAAACAAGAACTCAGGCCAGGTATGACTTGTGCCCAACTCTTTTAGATAGAGTATTTGAAAATACTAGAAGAAATAATATATGAGATTAGAGATGACTCCAAACTAAGTACACCATCTAAACTGATTTTTTTGTCTTCAGGGTCCCTTAATGCTCGAAGCAGTGCTGAAGATCGATCACCAGAAAATACCGGGTCATCAGTACCTGTGGATAGCTTTCCAGAAGTAGACAAGACCATGTTGATTGAGAGGATAGTAAGGCTGCAAAAAGCACATGCCCGGAAAAATGAAAAGATAGAATTTATGGAGGATCACATCAAACAACTGGTGGAAGAAATTAGGAAAAAAACAAAGTATGTGTTACTGTGGTAGCATATTCTATGTTCGGAATACTGTTATTCATATGATGAAATTACTGTTTTTCAAAATCATATCAAGAGCCTATCTTTCAAAAAATAGTTCTTCATTTAGTCACTCAGTTCCCAGTCTTTCAATGATCACTTACTATGTTTTATATTTGGGGAATACAGAGATGAAAGAAAACATAGGTCTTTCCTTTTAGGTGATAGAGTTCAGTAGACATTTATTTTTTTAAGATAATAAAATAACTTTAGATATAAAAAAGATAGTGCTGTACTTATTTAGCTTTTTATTTTCACAATTGTGTTTTTAAGAGATATGAGGTTGTCAGTTATCTTTCCTGCTGGGTAGCTCATAGTGGGGTGATTTATCTGTCACCTACTATGTACCTGCGACTTGATTTCTTACAACTACTCAAGGAGAGAATTAGTTCTCTAATTTGGCACATAACTTCACTAGGGCTCAGGTCAAATTACTAAATGTCCCAGAGTCCCCCTCATCCTATAAATGACAGTGAGCTGGAGGTCCTGCTACTCCAGGCTCCTCTCACAAAGACCATATTCACTTAGTAAGAGCTTTTTATATATCACAGGTCTTTACCCATGACTCCTAAATTTTTATTTTGAAATAATTTTAGTTTTAGAGGAAAGTTCATCCATGACTCTTAAAAGAAAAAGAATAAAATAGTTCTAGGTTTAATAACAGGAAAATAGAAAATATTAACTGAAATCAGAGCAATAAAAAAATTGCTCATATTTTGATTACAGTAATAAGAAGTAAAAAAGCAGTGTTTGTATGTCTTTAACTTAAATACCATGTCAGAACAAAAATGAGATTTAAACCATCTGAATAAGGACAATTCCTTTATTTTCTAATATATTTCTGTTACTAACCTAATTGGTAGTTATTTTGTGCTGACCATCTTTATGTTTAGGATTAGTTTATTCTTGCAAATTCCAGTGTTTTTAATTCTGCAAGTTTATTACTGATTTTGTTATTTTATTTTGCAGAATAATTCAGAGTTACATTTTACGAGAAGAAGCAGGCACACTTTCTTCTGAGGCATCTGATTTTAACAAAGTCCATTTAAGCAGACGGGGTGGCATCATGGCATCTTTGTATACATCCCATCCAGCTGATGGTGGATTAACACTGGAACTCTCTTTGGAGATCAACCGAAAATTACAGGCTGTTTTGGAAGATACATTGCTAAAAAATATTACTTTGAAGGTATTTGTATTTTCATTAACATACCAGCCAGTAAACCTGGCAAAATGATGCTGCTTCCATAGTTTGAACTAGCAAGTAGATGGACTATTTCTATAATGCAAGGTATTTACATGTACCAAGAGACAAAATCTTCCTCTTCCTGAAAAGTGCGGTTTTTTAAACTAGAAATAACAAAAAGACAGTTTAGCTATTGCATAGACACTAAGACACGTTTATTTTGCAGTGAGTGGCCTTTGACATATATTATTATTAATTATAATTGGTTACTGAAACTTTTCTTTAAATCGAGGCATTTATTTTCTGTTGTATTTTCCAGGTTTATTTTTTTGCAGCTTATTTTTATTTTTTTTAATTTCATTTATTATTAATACTTATTTTTATTATCTGACCCTACTATTCTATTTGTGTTTGGGCTTTGATAGTTATAATGGATTCAAAAAATAATTTTTAAAATCTAATAAATGATTTTATGCACTAAAATTTGCTGTAGCTTCTGTAAAAAGATTATGACTGAAATGTACAGAGCTAATTTACTGAAAAACAGCTGTGTGCCTAGTTTATCTCACAAAACATTTAACCACTCTTTCAGTTTCAAAATTTAGGTAAAAATAATTCAAACTGAATCTTTATACTTATTATACTTAGTAGTTCTGTTTTCTTTTCCCGTTTTCTAATTGGTAAAGGAAAATCTGCAAACTCTTGGAACAGAAATAGAGCATCTTATTAAACACCAGCATGAACTAGAACAGAGGATGAAGGAAACCTAACAGCACGAACCTCTTACTTGGTAAACGGAAGGCACCAAGGGGCAGGTGCCACAGCTCGGTGTCCTTGGAAACATTTCCCTGCTTTGCGTGTCAGCCAGTAAAAATTTCTTTTGCTTCATCTGTATAAAAAAGTATCCTTTTACAATATGAAGCGTTGCTGTGTATACTGTAAGAGTGTAAGTCTTGATGAAATTTGGTTTTGTATGGTAACAGCCTGTCAGTGAATCAGAGCAACTTAACTCAATTTGCTAATAGTCATATGAAGTGCTGAACATTACTATAAGGGCTTTTGAAAACACCATCTCCAATTTCTTCCCTTTAAAATATACAATGTCAAAAATGATTCAGCTTTTTAAAATTATGCATGAAAGAACAGGTGTTATTCATTCAGTAATGCTTGTTCTCCAACATGAAGAAATCTAAAGAAATGATCAAAATTTTTGCTTTTGACATTCCAGTATAACATTTGGCTGTATTTTCAGGATGCCATTGAGTCCTCGAATCTTTTAGTTTTAATGGAAGTAATAGGAAAGGTAGCTGTAACTGGCAGCGACCAAGCATCCTGTACCTCTCTGTCAGGTTTCCTCTCCTGTGCTAGGTACATCTTCTGAGATTCGAATTGTCTAATAGTTCAGTTTTTTAAATCTTTAGTTATATAAAATATGATTTACATTAACATGCTTATTTAGAAAATTTCTGTGGACTTCAGTTATATTTTAATATGTGAAATTGTTAGTCATTAGAACAGAGAGATGAATAATGAATTCTTTGAAACTGAAATTGCAAATGTTTTATTGACATGAAATATAAAGATAAATGCCTAAGATATTTATGAAGAACCAGTTCCCAAGAGAATTCACACTACGACTCTGTTATCCATTCATTGAGCACTGTTCTTTACTTTGGTACAATTATATATTATAGTGGAATGATCTTACAGTCCCCAAATGTGATGTTTTTCAGTATATTTATTTAAAACAAAGTAATTACATGTCTGTAACCAATGGAATTTTAGAGGCAAATTTAAGTATCCTGATGAATTTTTACAATATTTACTTAAGATGTGCACTTAAGTGTTGCCTACCATACTATCAATACTTTTATGTCATTGAAATTTTTTCTCTCCTCTCATAATTTCTGTGAGGTTTATCACATTTCATTATATTCAGGTCATTTTTCTAATTAACCTTGGATTATATGTAGATGTAGCAAGCCTCATCTTTGTTCTGGAATTTTTATCCTTTTTTCTCCCACTAAGAGAAGTAAGCTTTGGGGTGATGGATTAAAGGCCTTTAAAGAATGATGTGGCTCTAAAAGTCAGGCTCATGTTGGCTGTGTCCCTTAAATGTGTTTTAATTTTTGAAAAATCAACTTGACGTTGTTTAAAAAGGTCACTTAGTAAGGATTAGGTGATTGAATGAGGTGTCTTATTTTTCCTGTATTTGAGTTACATATTGCCATCCAAAAAATCTTTTCACTTCAAAATGGAAATAAAAGTTCAAGAACATTTTATTTTTAAATTAGCTATAAAAAGTATTAGTTTTACCATAATGTGTCTTGTTCTTTTTGCCAATAATAATTTATCAAAATAGAGAAAATAAGAGGATAAGTGCAATCAAATCTTAATTATTTTCCCATTTATTTCTAGACATACTATTGATTCTCCTAAATATCACTTAAAGTAGCCAACATAACTACATGTTTATGGCTACTAGATTCATATATTGTAATATTAATTTTTTTCCTCCAAGACACAAAATGTATTAATGGAGACCAAACATTGATTAGATCCATAGTATCCTATGTCTATATGCTTTTTATAAAAATAAACTCACTTATTTCATATAAAAATGAAGTACTCCAATATTAACATTTGTGCCACCATTCATTTGGAGAAATATAATGGTGAAACAGTTTTAGAAGAAAGCTATTAAAAACTATTTTGACTTACTGTTCCTTTTTTTCCTGTAAATGTAAGAAACTGAGACACTTTTGAAGAAAATGCTTTATTTCTATTTTATTCTTCAGTTTCTGTGTACTGTTATCTTTTTTTTTTACTTATGTACACAGAGTAGGACTGAGCAAAGTAATGTATGAAAATGTGCACAAACTGATTCACAAATAGCTCCTGAATAAGGGTTTAAAGGGCCTTCCAGTCTTACTTTATTTAATACCTGAGGAGAAGAATGGAGTGTCTGGAAAAGGAAAATGGTCTGGAAAAACCTGAGATCTGGAGGATAATTTGTTTTATTTTATAGGTTCATCATTGAACACATCAAAGTCTGTTTTGGTTACTTAGTACTGTTCTGATTTATTTGAGCACACATGATTTTGTGTGTATATATGTATACACTTCACTAGGTTTTCATTTTAAAGTGAATACTTACTGTGACTTTTTTTCCATACTACTTCAAGGTTTAGCCTGTTAAGCATTAAAAATTAAAAGTGGTGGGTTTGGGCAGAAGATTGAGTTTTGAATGCTATTGATTTTGGTTTTGTTTTTATCTTTTTAACTTTCTTCATAACTATTTAAAGCAGTTTATCTTGAAATTAAACTTCATCAGGCTACAGTATGTTATTTTTCATTTAATAAACACATCTAAAAAAACCAATTCCCAAGCACCATATAAGGTACTGTGATTATATTGATGAACAGACCAGACGAAGCAGTTCCTGTCCCCATAGGGCTTCTGGTCTAGTGCAAACAGCTGGGAGACAGCTCGGGCAGCTCTCTGAGCCTTCGCTGTGCACAGCCAGGCCCTGTGGGAAGAGTGTTTGTGCAAGTAGGTGTCCCAGAAATCTCCCTTTGGCCTGAAGCTTTGGGAAATGAATCCTTGCTGAGGTGCACTGTGAACAGATTGCTGTTCTCATGCTAGTTCTGCACATTTCCTAACTTTTATCACAGTTTGATAATTAATTATTCTTTAAGAGAAAAAAAAAATCCAAAGACCATAAAATGGCATTCAATTTTTGTCACTTTAGTAAATTATTAATGCCTACTGGATGCTTGTAAAGATGAATCTATTCATGTTGTATGTTTTCCAAACTTCGTTTTGAAGTATATTTTCTAAAAAATTTTTACATGTATATTTAGACCAAGATTTACCAGTAGGAAAAAAAAATCACAAACCATTGATACTGTAAAAGTTATATATGCTATCCTAGTGAAAATACTTTTATTAATCATGTTGCTGTCCAGTATGGTTAATTTGCCTTATGAATGTTGACCCCAGTAGTCTCCTTTTCAGTTACCTTTTTAAAACAAAATTCTTTTTTTGACACGAAGATTGTTAATTTTTAACACCAGTTGGTGGCACTAGAAACTCTAAATTTTTCAAGGGTGAATAAGAGAAAATAACTGAAAGAGTATCCAAACATGAATTTTCTGAAAAATAAATGAAAAATAACTGTATATTAAAGATGTATTTTCTTCTGGAATGGAATTCTTTTTACAAATGCTTATGGCTGTCCATAGTGGCTACAACAATGTTCATATATATCTGTGTGTGTATGTGTGTATTGTACAGATAATCTTTAATTTGATTACACTGTCCATTTTATAAATATGTTTCTGTATAAAATGAAGCTTTTCAAGAGAATTCTATGTATATATTGTACTTATTAAATAGATAATGCCTGTTTACTAAGTTGCATTTTAATGGCATCTTTATTTATTTATATACACCACTTGTGAAACAGGCTGTTGGCAAGGCTTGTTCAGATAGCTTGAACCTTCTTTTTTAAACAAGACTAGGAATTTTTGCTTTGCTTACCAATTTCATTAGAACTCAGTGAACAATAGTAAGCAAATTAAATTTAATGCGAGGTTGTATTTTCAATTTTTGTTTAAATTATTGATAGTGAAATTGGTCCTTTTCCAAAAGACAGATTTTCACATACCTATGTAAAAGTTTCTCATTGACTTAGTGAGCCAGTAATATATCCAAATTTTCCACAAAATTATGGAACTTACTTGCCCAAATTATCTAGCTTTAATAAGTATCTAATATATTCAGTAAAAATATGTCGAAATGGCATTCATTTCATGAAGTTAATGTGTGTGATAGATACTTCACATTCCAGTGTATTGTTTTGCCATTTCTCTAACAGTTCTGGTACATTTAAATTATGCCACATGCCTTAATGAGTTCACTGTTGGAAAGAATCCCCTGAAGATCCTTGGAATACATGTAAAATTGATAGGATAGAGGAAGCTTTCTGACATTCTTAATAGTCTGCTTACAGTAGCCTGTGGATTTGTTTGCAAGCGAAAGGAATATATACAGGAGGAGGGTTAGGGGAAGAGATACTGGCTTGTGGTACAAAACCGGTCAGTGTGACCCCCAGTCAGGAGATTGGATAGAAAGAGCATTGCGACAAACGTACCCAAGCCTATTTTTCTTAATAACTTAATGAAGTCTGCTTCAGTCAACGGATGTAAAATAAGTACACACTTCTTCAGGATCAGCAACTTGGGAGTATGCCTCTGGCTGACCAATGCTCATGCTGTTTTAATGATTTTCTTTGAGAACAGTGTGACCAAAATTGATGTTCCTGCCCCTGTAGAGAATTCCTATGTTAGATTTAAGAGTCTTAATTCTTACTTTTTTAAAAGAAGCATACACTTAAGAAGTATTGTATTTCTGAAGAATTTTCCGCCTTTTATGTGTGTGTGATTGCCCAAAGGCAATACTTCTTACCAGTCAGGCTATCTACCCCTAATGGCATTCCAAAAAAGGATAGGAAGTTACATTCAGGAGAAGACTCTGCCATTTAACCCAGTACAAAAGTAGTGCTTTGTTCAGTTCAGGATCCACCAAAATAAAAAACTTAGTTTGTTGATAGTCAACTTCTAGTTGCATTAACTTGAGAAATTAGTACTAGAATGGCTTTCCACATCCGTTTCACTGTATAGGTTTGTGGTTAATAATTAAAGACCCAAGGACAGGAAGTAGAGTGTGTATCTGTTTTCAGCACCCTCCCACTTTGCTTGTCCCAAGAAATAGCAGTTTAATCTGCCACACTTCCTATTCGTTTTTAGGTTTTTTGTTAAGAACTCTGATAGGGAAGACACCTACCAAAGCCTACAACCCCTGCTTCCCTTGCTCTAGGTCTCAAGCGTGTTTCTACTCTTGCACATGGGAGAACTTTGAGTGTTCTGCTCCCACCACAGCCCACAAAGATACATCCCATCGTCCTCTAAAACCAGATTGCCAGGAATCCACGGCAAAGAAGCATGGTGCTTTGGGCTTTGAATAGCTTCTGCCTGGATTTTGTATTAATCTGGGGCAAGTGTGGAGGGATTGGAGGGAGACCCTGCTGGGGCTGGGGGCATGCAAAGAGGAAGGGGGCCTGTTCCTGGCATCCTAATTGGAATTCAGAACCCACTTTCTCATAGAAATTGTATTTAAATAGTTCTTAAGTCTAGTCAAATTCTATGGATAAAAAGGCTTTGAGTGCTTGCTTGAGATATTTATTACTATTTATTACCTCTTATCTTTACCTGTGGTTAAATGCCTTCTATGCTCCAAGGCACCAACTATTAAAACTTGAAGCAGGGGCCTGGAGGCATAGCTCTGTGGTGGAATGACATTCCACTGTGCAAGTCCCAGGTGCCTTCTGAGAAATTGGATGACAGGATCTCACAAAGGTGTTCTGAAGTTTCAGTAGTCCAAGCCAGCAACTTGTATGTCAGAGCCCAAACGCTAAAGCACAAATGTAGCTGACAGTTTTTAGAGACCATACTCTACCTGCAGGTATGATGCAGTTCCATTTCAGCAACAGCTTTGGTATAGAGCAGAAAAAATCTTTTTGTTTAGGCTCTGTGGTGTCTTCAAAGCAATATAGATAAACTCAAGCATTGCTCGTGATTCAAGTAATAGGTGTTTTGATAGAACTCAGGCTCTGCTTCCACTGAGATTGGGATCATCACGCTAACTAAGCAAGGTAGACACACTAAGTTTTCCATCCTTTTCTTGATTTTCTGCTTTTTTTGGATTAATGGAATATTTTGTGTGATTCAACTGTATCTCCACTATTGGCTTATGAGTTATGCCTCTTAAAATATGTAAGTGGTTGTCCTAGGGTTTACAAAATACCTCTGAACTGTGGAGGGCCTCGTGTTCATGAGCCACCATTGTGCAGGGCCCATGCTAACGTCCTGGGATGGACCCACATGTGCTGCACATGCTGCTGAAGGGAGCACCTCTCCTACATTTTCCTCTGCTGGTTGGAGATTTGGGTGCTGAGAAGCAAAGACTAACGGGCCCTTTGGAACCACAGATCTCAGAGATGGAAGTGCTTTCAGGAAAGAACATCTAGTTCTTTCCTGTGTGACCCGACTTTCAGGTTCTACCTGAAACTAGCAAAATTTCAAAAACATTCCGAAATGTTTGAGCTCATTGACTTTTATTTTACTAAGTGAGAATCAGAAAGAACTGCCATGTATTGCTATAATTTCACGAAAGGATGTTTTAACACACACAAAAAAAGGTTGACAATTTCAACTTCCCGGCTGAATGCGTCTAGCTCCATGAAACTCTATTTGTTCTCCCCTCTCTGCAGCCTGGTATTTGCAAACCACTCACCCATTCCAACCTCTCCTTAGGAGATAAGGAAAAAGGCCCGTGGGAAGAAGTGATTTGCCTAGGTCACACCTAATCAGTTTTTTTCCTTGCTGTGTGGGCAACTGATGACCCTGATAGGGTCTGAAACACAGCTACACCGGCATGTTCTTCAGGTCCTTGGGACCGAATAAATTAGCCTCAGAAGCCCTAAAGAAACTGTGGGCTATTAATTTATTACCTCTTAGCTCCAAATGCCCTTTTCAGTATCTGCTCTGTGATAAGAGAATTCCCTTAACCCTTAACCATTTTTCCTTTAAAGTGAACATGGTGAGTAGAGGACAATGGCGGCGCATGACAGGAGGAAGAGGCTTCTGGAAGCTCCTGGCAGAGGCTGAGTGTCAGCCTTGTGCACGTGAGGACAGCAGTGGAATGTGCCCCAGACATCCCTCTACAACCTCGCAGCGTTGGTGATAACCCTTCTACGGCCTTCTGGGCCTGGAAACCGCCTTCTGGGCGTGGAAACCCAAGCATACAGTTACTTGTGGCACAGAGAGGAGCCTGCAGAACAGCCACTGCACATCCAGACCACTGGTTGCCACCCACCTGCTCCCCTGTTGGCACTACGGCTGGAAGTCTAAGTACCGCTTGCCAAGCAACTCCAGGCCAGCTCCATCCTGGCCAAGCCAGCCAACACTTCTGCTACCCAGTGGTCTGAACCACACCTTCTCCGTGAGGTCTGGACGCCTTCCAAGTTGGTGCTTCCTTGCGTGCTGTTCCTCAGCCCTAGGGTGCCTTACAGGACATCCTTGTATCTTATACCCTTTCCTCATAGTTAATAATGCTTTGCATTAAACTTTTGTTTAATCTAAATGGACCTGTGTTGTTTCTCCTAATTGGACCCAGGCTTCTCCTGAAGGGGAGAGTGAAGTACGTCATACAATACAACCTAACCTGAAAGGCAAAAGGCAAAAGGGTGCTCTCTGACTCTCAGAAGCTTTATGTTTAAAAAATCAAATACAAGTTCTTCCTATTCTATTATTTAATACATTCACACAGTATCATTATCTATTTATGTGCAAAGCACTATGGGAGATAAGTACTGTCCTGGGAACAAGGTGGGAAGGGACCAGTGCCCTAGGCTAGCCCTGAGGGAGGTCGGGGAGGACCAGACTGGCTGGACGAGACAGCATCCTTGGAGAAGGGTCTTCACCAGTAGGCACACACGGAACATGCAGAAGGGAAAGGAGAGGAGAAGGCCAGGTGGATGAACCCCCCATGCCTTTTGCTCAGGGCAATTACAGGTGTCTCAGAGGTGGTAACAGGAAATGTGCAGAGGAAAGACCTAGTCGTACTGTTTGACCGTTACTTAATCTGGACTGTGGTCTCGGAACAAAAAGATGGAGTCAGTTTTGCCACTGCCAACCTTTATCATGTTCAGCAAGCCATAGTAAGACCCATAAGAATGGAAAGGACCTTAGGAAGTTACCTAATAGCAGGCAGGCAGTGAACAGCCTTGAGTGTCACAACAGTTCTCATCTGCCAGAAAAGTTGCTTCAATAGAAAGAAGGCCTGGGTGCCATCCACACTAGTATATTGACTATATCTGATACTTATATTAAAAACAAAACTTAATTGAGGTAGACTAGTAACTTTGAGAACAGTGCATCTACTGTATGTACAGCTTAAAAAATCATCTTGAACTGAAAGCTGTGTGATCAACACCCAGTGCCCACTTTCTCCTGACTGGATCCTGACCTATCGCCTCACAGACCTTTGTCACACTCTCAGTCATTACCTGTCCTTAGAGGAGGACCGTTATCCTGACTTCCAACAGCATCGATTTATTGTACCTGATTTTTGATACTTGATATCAATGGGCTCATACAATATTTTTTGAGTCAACATTTTGTTTATAAGAATCATCAATATTGTTGGGTGTCATTGTAGGTCACTGATTCCCTCTAACATCTAGTATTTCATTGTGTGGATTTATCAATTTATCCACTCTACTGATGGGCATGGGAGACTGCCCAGTTTGGAGCTATGAATAAAGCTGCTAGAAGATTCTTGTGTGTTGCAAA